GGGAACCCTTGTGCACTGTTGGTGGGAAAGTGAATTGGTGCAGCCACTAACAGAAAACCGTACAGAGGTTCTTAAAAAAATTAAAAATAGAAATACCATATGAGCCAGGAATTCCACTGCTGGGTATTTACCCCAAGACGACAAAAACACTAAGTATAAAAGATATATGCATCCCTTAATCACTGAAGCATTATTTACAGCAGCCGAGATATGGAAGCAACCCAAGTGTCCATTGACAGATGGCTGGATAAATATTCAGTGTATATTGGGGCGCCTGGGTGGCTCAGTTGGTTAAGTGTCTGCCTTCGGCTCAAGTCATGATCCTGGAGTCCCAGGATCGAGTCCCGCGTCGGGGGCTCACTGCTCAGCGGGGCGTCTGCTTCTCCCTCTGACCCTCTTCCCTCTCGTGCTCTCTATCTCTCATCCTCTCTCTCTCAAATAAATAAATAAAATCTTTAAAAAAAAAAAAGATTCAGTGTATACATACGATGGAATATTATTTAGCTGTAAAAAGAATAAAATCTTGCCATTCTTGACACCTTGCGTGGACCTAGAGGGTATTATGCTAAGGGAAATCAGTCCGAGAAAGGCAAATACCATATGATTTCATTTCCACGTGGCATCTAAACAAAGGCACAAACAAACAAAACAAAACAAAACAGATTGATAAATACAGAGAACGGGTGGTGGCCAGAGGGGGAGGAGTGGGTGCACTTAGGTGAAGGGAATTAAGAGGTACAAACTTCCAGTTATAAAATGCCTACGTCATGGGGATTAGAAAGCACAGCCCAGGGGATACAGTCAGTAAGATCGTAATGATATTGGATGGTGACAGATGGCAACTCCACACTTATTGCTTAAGATACAGAATTGTCAGTTTGCTGTGTTGAGTGCGCCCGAAGCCAATATAACATTGTCAACGATACTTCAATTAAAAAAAAAATCATAAAATTAAAATATATTTTAAAAATTGGTTTAATCAGGCTGGTCACAAAAGGATAAATGCTGTCTGATTCCACTCATATGAACTCCCTAGAGGAGTCAAATTCATGGAGACAGAAAGTAGATGGTGGGCACCAGGGGCTGGGGAGGGGCAGGGGAAGGGGGGTTTGGGTTTAATGGCTCAGAGTTTCCGTTTTGCGAGATGAAAGGAGCTCTGGAGAAGGATGGTGGTGACAGCTGCACAATGCTTGTGAATGTGCTTCACACCCCTGGATTGTACACTTGAAATGGATAAAATGGCAAAGTTTATGTTAGTTTTTTTTAAATAGATTTTTTTTTTAAAGATTTTATTTATTCATTTGAGACACAGAGATACAGAGAGAGAGCATGAGCAGGGGGAGAGGCAGAGGGAGAAGCAGGCTCCCTGCTGAGCCAGGAGCCCGATGTGGGGCTCGACCCCATGACCCTGGGATCATGACCTGAGCCGAAGGCAGACGCCTAACCATCTGAGCCACCCAGGCACCCCTTAAAATAGATTTTTAAAAACAGGGTGCAACACAGCTGTGACAGGGGAGCGTGGGACAGTCGAGAGAGCCCAGAGCAGGTACCTGACCTAGACATGGATTGAGAGATCAGAGAAGGCTTCCTGAAAAGGAGATCTTATTGCTGCTGGAGGCTAAGAATGCAAAAATGAGCAGGCGCTGTGTGTTGTTGTGTGCTGTGCGGTTGGGTGCCTGAGGAAAAGGAGAGAGAGGAACCGAAATTAAGGAAGTCAGTGCGTCTGGAGCAGTGGGTTCAAGCTCAAGTGGTGGTAGCTTGTGAGAGAGTTCAGCTGGGGTTGTTTCTCACTGTATCAGCCCGCAGGCAGCTCCAGGGCAATGGGAGCCAAGGGGGATACGAGAGTGAGGGAGTGTCAGAGTTTCAGACCACTCCCTTGAGTAGTGTGGAGAAGGAACTGAAGGAGGTGCCTAGAGGCAGAGTCACAGAGGGGAGGCTGGGGCGGACTCTAGGCAACCAAGAGGAACTGGGGCAAGGCCACAGCCCCTGGGAATAGGGGACATTGCAGCTGAGGCGGGGCCATTGGGCACACAGAGCTGCTCTGTTCTCTGACCCCACTGAAGCTTTTGGGTTCATACATTTTTCGGCCAAACAGACCTTGAGTTTCAAATTCCAGGGCTCTGGGCCCCAGCTTTTGGAAAACATCTCAAGGACCCAGGAGAAGGGCCCTTGAGAGGGTCGGTGATGATGGGCTGGGGCAAGGGCCTGGAAGCGTCCACAATCCCCTGGGTCACCTGAGCAGGGAGCAGATGGGACGGAGAGTGGCAGCAATGCTCCCCTTTTGAGCAAAGACAGCATAAAACCTTGGGCTTTGCAGGGCTGGGATTCCAGCCCCACCACTGATGACAGCATAACTTTGTCCAAGTCAGTCCATTTTCTTCTCCACTGTGCAATGCTATCTGTCAAACGGAGATAATAGGCCTCCCTCACTCAAGACTTTGTTTCTAGAAGGATTCCCAAAGGGGAGACATTTAAGGCATGGCCTGGGTAAGCCGAGTGCCCCACCGGCTGAGCTGTTCTTAGGAATAGGAATATTTGTATCTGACAATGCAGCAGAGCTCTTGACCTCCGCGACTCAAAATCAGTTTCTGGCCCAATTGCCTCACAGCTGTGTAGCCCTTGGGCAAGTGCCTTGACCCCTCTGGGCCTCTGCTTCTTCCAATGTAAGAAGACAGGAAAGGTCTTCCCCTTGGGTCCTGAATTATCAGGAAAAGCAAAGATGGGAAGACCAGAGTCAACCAGAAAAAAAAAATAACAGACTTGGAAAAAAAATCGAAGAAGACAGAAAGAAGTATTGGGAGAGACGTGTTCAGCGAGTGTGCACTTTGGCTGGGTTGCCCTTGCCGTGATATTGTCCATGTTAGAGGCCCGCCAGGAGGAGAGTGGGTAGTTCTGATAGCAACAGCTGCTGTCTTCACTTCCCTCCCTCAAGTCCCCGGTGGGGACACCCACCCCACCCTCAGAGGCTGATAAAGATGTGGGCTGGGTTTGCAGAAGGAAGGAAAGATGATGCCTGGGTGAGCTAGGCGTCCAGCCCACCGGGTCCACCCTCCGGCCCTTCAGGACCCTCCCTGTATTGAGCAGGATTAGTTCCAGCCAGGCTGGAAGTGAGTTTCCCTTTCCTTCTCCTGCTCATCCCGCTAGGAGGGCAGACAGTTGTGGGGTCTAATAGCTGATGTGCAGGGAGCTTCGGTGCTGTGCCAAGCAGTGAATGAAGCCTGAAGAGGTGGCACCAAGATTCTCATGCCCGTTTAACAGAAGGGGAGACTGAGGCACAAGAGGTGAAATCACTAGCCGAATGCCTCAGAGCCAATTGTGGAGTCAGGATTCAAAGTGGCCACCTGTGTCCTTTTTTAAAAAAATTTTTTTTACTTATTTTATTTATTTTTATTTTTTTAAAGATTTTATTTATTTATTTGACAGAGACATAGAGAGAGAGCACAGATAGGCAGAGCGGCAGGCAGTGGGAGAGGGAGAAGCAGGCTCCCCACTGAACAAGGAGCCCGACGTGGCGCTCGATCCCAGGACCCTGGGATCATGACCTGAGCCGAAGCAGACGCTTAACGACTGAGCCACCCAGGCGCCCCTCACTTGCCTTCTTGATTAGAGATGATCACAATCAAGATGATTAAGATGATTTTTTTTTTTTAATCTGACAGAGAGAGCACAAGCAGAGGGAGAGAGAGGGAGAAGCAGGTTCCCTGCTGAGCAAGGAGCCCGATGTGGGACTTGATCCCAGGACTCTGGGATCATAACCTGCGCTGAAGGCAGCCACTTAACCGACTGAGCCACCCAGCCGTCCCAAGATGATTAAGATGATCTCCCGTCATGATCAGAGATGATCTTGTTTTTTGGTTTTTATGTTGTGTGCCTTTCACCCTCCGTTGAAGAGAGCAGTGGAGTGGCTTGGTCTATTTGCCATCCATAGCAGCACAGGGGTTAGTGGATAAATATTCATTCACTGCATGAATCAGCCTCAGCAGCAGCATTACCATAATGAAAGCGGCCTCCATATGTTCGGTCCAGCACCCAGGAGGTACTCAATGTTTGTTGAGAATATAGTCACAATAATAATGACCATTGATCTTTTTACCATTCTATCGACATCTTAGTGTCTTATAACAGGAGCTTGTAAATACTTTTGGAACGATTAAAAGTAACATTAGGAATAATAATAAAAGTAGTTACATTTGTTCTGCTCCGAGTTCTACCCACAGTTCCTCAGTGAAAGAATTTACTAGTCAGTGAATATCTGAATGAAAGAATAAATTAATTAGTAAATCGTTATTGTATGAATGAATGAATGAATGATTTGCACAAATATATTTTTTCCTCCCCTCCCCACGGACCTGGACAGATATTATTTGAGTACCCAGTGTGGGGCACTGGGGACACAAACATAAACAGGACAAAATTTCTGCTCTACTGGGGCTGGTGTGCATGTGGGAGAGACAGAAGAGAAACAAGATGAATGGTTAAATGGGTGGATGGATGGAGATGGATGGATGGGTGGATGTATGAATGGGGGGGGGTGAGTGGCTGGCTGGCTGGGTGGACGAATGGATGGGTGAGTGGATGGACGGGTGGAGATGGATGGACGGGTGGAGATGGATGGATGGGTGGGTGGATGAATGGGCTGGGGGTGAGTGGGTGGCTGGCTGGCTGGGTGGACGAATGGATGGGGTGAGTGGATGGACGGGTGGAGATGGATGGGTGGGTGGGTGGATGAATGGGTTGGGGGTGAGTGCGTGGATGGCTGGGTGGACGAATGGATGGGTGGGTGGATGGATGGGTGGGCGGACGAAGGGATGGTTGGTTGGTTGGTCTGGAGACTCCTCCCATCCGCCCTCCTGGGTGCAAAGGGAAAGGGAGGCGGGGCAGCTGTCCCCTCCGAGGCCCCGCCCTGCAGCAGCCTTCGCGTCGGCCAACAGCGCCGCTCACCTGGAGGCCTCCCCTTTAAGACGCTCTCACCTGGGCACTCACCTGCGCGCGGCCGCTTCCGCAGGAAGAAGGAAGCGGCGCCGCCGTCGCCTCCCGGCGCTCCCTCCCCGCCTCCCGGGTCCTCCAGCTGCCACCATGTCCGCCTCGGCTGTCTTCATCCTCGACGTCAAGGGCAAGGTGGGCCGGGAGCGGGGGATGGGGATGGGGGTGGGGGGGAGGACAGGTGAGTCTGAGCTCCCTTGGACCCAGGGGCGGCTCCTCCTCGCCGGCGGGGAGGCCCTAGAAAGCTCTGGGAGCGTGGGAACACCCCTCCCCCAATCCATGGAAGTCCCGGGTCGAATCCCACCTCCACTGTTTACCAACCGTGCGCCGTGGGCCGGGGGCTTTGCCTTTCTGAGCCTCAGTCTCCCTGTCCGTAAAAATGGGAATAACAGAGGTCCCCACCCAATAAGAATGTATGCCACTGGATGGGTGTAAACTACTTAGCACAAGAACCCTGCTGCAAACATGAGGCGTTCAGTCCACTGAAATTATTTCAATCACCATCTATTCCATCATCCACACGATTCATATTTGGGGAAGACAGCAGGGCAGGAGACCCTCTTTCCCATTTGGGGCTGCCGTGTCCCTTTCTGAAGCCTCCTCTCATTCGCCTTTTCATTTCAAATCAATAAAAACGGTGGTGGTGGAAAGCTAAGGTGTTTGAGGACCAGCTCTGTGCCGTCGTGGTTCTCAACCCTGGTCTAAACCAGCTCAGGAAGTAGGTACTGTTAATATCGAGTGCTTACTGCCTGCCAGACAGCAGCTATGTGCGTAACATCTCTCTCTCTCTCTCTTTCTAGAATCTTTCTTTTTTCTTGGCTTCCTTCCTTCCTCCCCACCCTTCCCTTCCCTTCCCTTCCCTGGGCCCCACCTCACCAGTTTGGTGCCTGTGAAGCCCTGGACAGGAGCAGGAATTCTGGACCTAGGTGTCTTGGTTCAATTCCTGGTTTCCCCACCTGTTAGAGACATGGTTCACACCTCGGTGTCCCCATCCTTCACATGAAGACACATGAAGATGAAGCTGCTGCCTACCCGACAGGCTGTAGTGAGATCCAAATCAGTTAGCAAACGTCCAATCTTTAGTAGGTCACGGCTGGTCCTCACTGAGGACTCTGGGACGTTTGCTGTTGTTATCATGTACCCATTTTACAGAGGAGGAAACCGAGGCATAGAGCAGCAGAGTCTTGCCCCTGTCCAGCACCCAGGAAGTAGAGTCAGAACCAGGCACTCTGATGCCCCCAGGTGAAGGGGCCCAGACCCCAGCGATGACCAGGCCTTCTCTGCTCACCCTTAGCCCCTGATCAGTCGCAACTACAAGGGCGATATCGCCATGAGTGAGATCGAGCACTTCATGCCTCTGCTCATGCAGCGGGAGGAGGAGGGCGCCCTGGCCCCACTGCTGAGCCATGGCCGGGTCCACTTCCTGTGGATCAAACACAGCAACCTCTACTGTATCTAGCCCCTAGCTGGGTTCCTGGAGGCCTGGGGTGGTGGCAGCTCAGGCCCAGAGATGGTGGGACTGAGGACAGAAGTTGCACAGCACATCAGTGGCTCGGGTTGGGGGTGGTGGACGGGGTGAGGTTTTAGGATCCGTGCCCCGTTTGAGACCTCCAAAATGGCACCTTTTCCTTAACCTTGCTGCCCATAGTGGTGGCCACCACACTGAAGAACGCCAACGCCTCCCTCGTGTACTCCTTCCTCTACAAGACTGTCGAGGTAGGTTCTGACTTCCCATTGGCTGGCTGGTCTGTCTGTCCAGCCGATTTGCCCTCCTCTTTCAGGATCCATCTCTCCTAGGAAGCTTTCCCGGACCTCCATAGAAGCCCCATCTCTGTGTTCTCATTAACTGCTAGGGGATCATCTCTCCCTGTAGGGCAAGGACCAAGGAGGTTTCCAAGACAGTGACTGCTCAGATCTGAGCCAGAGAAAACTGGGTTCCAATCCCATCACCACCACCCCCAGCCGTGTGACCTTGAGCAAGTCACTTCTCTCCGTGTCTCTAAACTGGGAGTTACAACAAGTCCTACCTCGAGGTTGTTGTACAAATTAGTCAAATTCATATATGAGTGTTTAAAACAGTGCTTTGTATACAGTAAGTGCTCAGTAATGGTTTGGTATTATTGTTAGCATTAATACTATTTTGAGAATCATATAATAATTTGAGTGCTTGATAGATGTCATTCTTGACTGAGAAGGTGCTCAGTAAATCCTTTTCAACTATGGTGAGTGCTGTGAATTGTGTAAGGCTGATGAATCAGACCTGTACCCCTGAAACAAATAATACATTATATGTTAATTAAAAAATTAAAAAAAAATATTTTTCAACAAATAGGGAATGTGTATTGATCTGTCCCCTGCCAAGCAAAGAGGGGACACAGCTGTGCACAAGACAGGCACGGTCCTTGCCTGTCCCGAGGAGTCAAAGGACCTGAAGGAAATGCAACAGGACATTATAAGAACCAGTGACTGGGGTGCTCGTCTCACCTTGACACTCAAGGGGGAGGAGGGGTGGTAGTGGCTTCACTGAGGAGGTGACATTTGAGCTGAGGCCTGAATGATAAGAAGGCCACTGTGAGAAGAATGTCCCAGGCGGAGGGGACAGCATATGCAAAGACTCCGAGGTGAGAACAGAGAGAAGGCAGGTGGGGCTGGAGCAGAATGAGGGATGGAGGGTTTTTCGAATGTCAGATGACTGGTAGGTTCTCTGCTGTGGTTATGCTTACACCTTCCCAGAGGCCCTGAATTTGGGGTCCCAAACCCCTAAAGCTCGTGGACTCCCTGAATTCTTAATATCCGAGCACTGGTATACAGTAGGCACTCAATAATTGCCTGTTGGGTTGCTGGCTGGAAGAGTGAGGCCCCAGCCACACCTCTGCTGGTGTCTGTTTCCCCGCCCCTCCCCCCCCAGGTATTCTCTGAGTACTTCAAGGAGCTGGAGGAGGAGAGCATCCGAGACAACTTTGTCATCGTCTATGAGCTGCTGGATGAGCTCATGGACTTTGGCTTCCCACAGACCACGGACAGCAAGATCCTGCAGGAGTGAGTGGGCCACGGGGGCAGCCACAGGGGGAGCTGCTCATGGGAGGAAGTCAGGGAGGGTCCGGGAAGCGTCCCACGGTCCAGCTGCTCATCGCCCTTGCCCTCCTGACAGGTACATCACGCAGCAGGGCAACAAGCTGGAGACCGCCAAGTCACGGGTGCCACCCACTGTCACCAACGCTGTGTCCTGGCGCTCCGAGGGCATCAAGTACAAGAAGAATGAGGTCTTCATCGACGTCATAGAGTCTGTCAACCTGCTGGTGAGCACCCCCTCCTCTCCCCTACTCCTTCCACGGCCTGGGGGCAGCAGAGGAGGCCCTATGCTTGTTGACCCCTGTATGTGCATCCTCAGGTCAATGCCAACGGCAGCGTCCTGCTGAGCGAGATCGTGGGCACCATCAAGCTCAAGGTGTTTCTGTCGGGAATGCCAGAGCTGCGGCTTGGCCTCAACGACCGTGTGCTCTTTGAGCTCACTGGCCGTAAGCATTTGGGGGGGCAGGGGCGCGGGAGGGAGCCGACCCTATCCCATCCGGGGACCCAGAGAATTGCAGCCCGTTCTGAACTAAGCACTCGAGTGCCCTCTGCTGGTCACGGCCAGTGCTGCGGCTGCTGGCTCATTGGCGCAAACAGTGCCTCATTATTGGGTGCCTGGCACAAGTACAAGGGTAAAAAAAAAAGACAAATCACTGTGCTTGTGGAGCTGACATTCAAGTGGGAGTAGGAGGACGGAATCGCATCCTATTTAAAAACCTGACAACAAGAGCCAGATTCCCGGGATTCAGAGCCTAGCTCTGCCCCCCCTGGCCAGCTGGGTGACCCCGGGCAAGTTACTCATCCTCTCTGGGCCTCAGTTTCCTTACCTGTAAAATGGCAGGTAATGGCAAGTGGTAGGTGGGGAAGGCAGGGCTAGCGACCTGGGATAGGGTCTCTAGCCTAGGCCTCCAGGGTCACCCGCTGGCCCACTCGGCTCCGAGTTTCAGGGAGCAAGAACAAGTCCGTGGAGCTGGAGGATGTGAAATTCCACCAGTGCGTGCGGCTCTCTCGCTTTGACAATGACCGCACCATCTCCTTCATCCCACCCGATGGCGACTTCGAGCTCATGTCCTACCGCCTCAGCACCCAGGTGAAGCAGGGTGAAGCAGGGTAAAGCCCCACTGCAGAGGGTGAGAAACGACCTCAGAACCTCCAAGAACTTCCTCTTCTGCTGTCTGCAGGTCAAGCCATTGATCTGGATTGAGTCCGTCATTGAGAAGTTCTCCCACAGTCGCGTGGAGATCATGGTTAAGGTAGGCCCAGGGGAACAGTTACTTAGAGTGCTTGATCTGCCCCTCCCCGCAATCACCCGCCTAACCCTATCTCTCCCATCCTCCCTGGCTCCTCATTCCCCTCCAGCCTCACTGGTCTCCTGGCTGGTTCTCAAACATGTCAGGCACGGTTCCCTGTAGGGGCTTTGCATTGGCTGTTCCTTCTACCTGGGCTGCTGTTCCAGCAGCCATGCCCATAGCTTCGGCTCCCACCCTCTCCCACCCCCCTTTGGTCTTCGCTCTGCGGGCCATCACGTCTACCTCTCCCCTGCGTGATTTCTTTTCCTCAGTGTCAGGCACGTAGTAGGTTCTCAATAATGTCTAAATGATGGACAAAGTGTTAGCTATTGCTACTATGATTTTAAGGGAGCCTCTACTTGGTAAAGGAACTAAGGGACGAGAAGGAAGAAATAAAAGATATGCTGCCTTCAAGGAGCTTGCAGGCCAGCTGGGGAGGCAGACAAACCATCAGCAAATCCTGGGCAAAATAGATCCCTAATCTGGCCACTTCATCCTCCCTCCACTGCATCTGCCCCGGTCTCCCAGCTGCTGCCCTTGCCACCCACCATCTGTTCCCTTGGAGGGCACCTGTGAGCACTTCAGTCTGGCTGTGTCTCTCTTCTGCCTACAACCTTCCATGGCTCCCACTTCACTGAAATTAAAAGCCAAAGTCCTGGCAGCCCACAAGGCCCTGCGACAGTCTATCCTGTCACCTTCCTATCTTTACCTCCCTCCACTGTCTCCCTCCCTCCCTCCATTCCAGCTATATTGGCTTCCTCTTTATTCACACCAAGCAAGGTGATACCTCAGGGCCTTTGTACTGCCTGTTCCCTTTGGATCACACGCCCTCCCTGCCCCAGATATCCACATGGCTCCTTCCCTCATTTCCTTCAGTTTTTTGCTAAATGTCACCTCCTCAGAGGCCTTTCCTAATTGCCCTATTTAAAATTGCAAACCCCCCCCCCCAACCCATGGGGCACCTGGGTGGCTCAGTTGGTTAAACATCTGCCTTCAGCTCAGGTCATGATCCCAGGGTCCTGGGATCAAGCCCTGCATCAGGCTCCCTGTTCAGTGGGGAGCCTGCTTCTCCCTCTCCCTCTACCCCTCGCCCCCAGCTCGTGCTCTTTCTCACTCATTCTCTCTCAAATAAATAAGTAAAATCTTTAAAAAATACGAAATAAAATTGCAACCCCCTATCATTCCCCACCTCCCTCTTTGCTCTATTCTTCTCCTATGACTTAACACCAACTGACGTGTTTTATTTACTTTCATATCAAATATACACATATGCATGTAATATTTATGTGGTTTAAAGAAAGTACTCAGCATATTCACTTTATAGTTTTGTCACCCATATTTTTTTTAAAGATTTTTAACATTTTTTAAAAAGATTTTATTTATTTATTTGACAGAGAGACACAGCGAGAGAGGGAACACAAGCAGGGGGAGTGGGAGAGGGAGAAGCAGGCTTCCCGTGGAGCAGGGAACCCAAGGCAGGGCTCGA